CTCTCTCTCTCTCTCTCTCTCTCTCTCTCTCTCTCTCTCTCTCTCTCTCTCTCTCTCTCTCTCTCTCTCTCTCTCTCCCTACCTACCTACCTACCCACCTACCTACTCCTCTACCTCTAACGTAGTGCTGTGTCGCGCTGCTCGAGCAGCGTTGTTCCTCCTCAGTTTTGCCCTCTTTCTCTTCCGTCCAACTTCGCGATGGGATGTGATGCATAATGCCATGTTGTGCGTAGTGCACAGTGCACCACCCAGCATTCATGGCATTGGTAGGAGGGAGGAGGCATAGAGAAGAAGGGAATGTAGAAACAAGAGAGGATGTCAAAGATTCATGAATCTCAGTACCCCAGTTCAGCCCCAAGTCACAGTCTCGAGTCCATGTTCCATTGGTGGTCCTAGCCACACGCACAATATTCATGAATGCTTGAGAAGAATAAGCTTTCGTTCGTACAACGATTACGGATGCCCTGGTAGGTTAGTTTAAGTTGGTCGACGGTGGTGGCAAAAGTCCTGGGTAGACAACAGTTACGGGTTGAAAAATATATTTTCAGGTAGGCGCAACAAGCTTCAGCCAAGATAGCAGAAGTTGTTAGGCGAAGTGTCAGTAAGTCCAGTCAAGCAGCCAGATCCAAGGAAAATCCATGAACTTCCGGAAGCAGCAAACAAAGGCAAGGGAACTGACCCATAACCAGCAAAAGAAGTCCAGAAGATGGATCAACAAGTACAGAAGTCCAGCAGCACTTGGATGTCAACACCTTATGCTTCGGGCTCAATGTGGCAGCGTTACTGCGGTCTTGTGCGTTGGAGTGACAGCCGAGGAAGTGAAAGTGAACGTAGGGCAGTGTAGTCAACAGCAGTGGGCGCCATAGTGGGCGCCATAGCTGTAGCTGTAGGATGAGCGAAAGAGAGAGAGAGGAAGACATACGGAGAGATGAGCGAGGACTGTGAGAGAGAGGAGCCTAGAGAGAGACAGAGAGAAGTGAGAGAGGAAGTAGAGAGAGGCTTACCTGCATGCCGAGTTGGGCGGCCGTAGCTGTCGGTGACAAAGAAGACAATTAAGTTTGGTGTTCGCTACTGAAACTATTTTTGGACTTCATATCTCCTGGGTGTCTCATGTGTGTGTGACGTGATGGGAGACTTGTGTTTGAATGTTCCATGCATGGTGGTCTTATTACAGGATGCTGAAAATTGGGCTGTTTTCCATGTCGCTCCTTCTCATGATTCTGCCTTTTCGTTTCCCCATCCTACCGGTGGCACCTGAAACGGTTCCGGTGGACTCTCAACCACAAAAATAGAATTGTGGCTGAAAATGGCCCTTTCTGCAGTCCACACTATGTACTGGGCGTAAGAGGTATTAAGCAGGTTGGTTTTGTGACTTTTGTCCTTCAGTCCCCTTTTTGCCTCCCAAATGCAACAGTCTGCATGAGAGAATGCAACATCATTGCTTGTAAGAAGAACGAGTTCTCTGTCTTTCTCCCTGTTTTGTTTAGGTCAATGATGTCTTATCTGACCTCTCTTTGACTTGGCAGGGCGAACTGGAAGAAAAGGCGGTAACACTTCAAGGAGCTAAGGTCAAGGAGGTATGTATGAGAGATCTTCCATGAACGTCCTTGTGGGATCACTCAGGCCTTGATGATTGTGGTCCAACTTCTGTGAACTGATTGAACACATGATCACACAAGTCCTTATCCAGAGAGCAACGCTGGCAGCTAAATGAGACTTTCATTGGGATGAAGCAATGAACCAGGAGAGAGATCACTGGACAACAGCTTGTGTCGTCATCTTCGTTGTTCCAAAATTACTTCACTCCAATTTGGACATGGAGGCAGAGCCCAGTTCCCTGACCTTCATCCAGTGTCATAGTGTGGCATGCACAAGCCTCCCACACGGGCCTTTGGGGGGGGGCGACTGTGGTTCTTGGGCCTTTAGGCTGTGAGACCACATTCTGGGAGGGGCACAAAGCATTTTCTGGGCCTAGATCACTTCTTTTCAGTCAGCGTGTGCTATTTGTGCCGTTTCATTTATTTTCCTGAGACTTGCTTTGTTTCTCGTAGTTTTGTCTGTTTCGAGTTTTGTCTTGTCTGGAAAGTGTAGTTTTAGATGTTGGTCCATTCGAAGAGGCAGGAGCCTGTTCTGATGAGTGGGGAGGTTGGTCCAGAACTGTGGCCTCTCTCAGCTATCCTACTCGGCAGCTATGGTGCCCTGCGCTGTTGACTACTTGCTTGCCATGCACTGTTCGCCTCACCAGCATCTTGGGGCTGAATAACGCTGCAGCTCTACTGCTTGTGCTAAACCAATGGAAGAGGCAGATCCGGACTGCCAGGCTGCCTTTGTGCAGTGCGGGGTGGCTCCCACGTGGCTCGTGGCCAGATCCGGACTGCCAGGCACGAATCCAAAAATTAGTTTTGGGTTCCTTGATCAACTCCTTGTTCTGATTTATCATTCGGGCAAAATGTATCGACTCCAAAGAGGGTGGGAGAATGATGTCCAATTGATTGGATGTATTTTACCCTTGGTCTCTACCTCATTGTTTCTCTTGCTTCTCCCTGACATCTCTACTTCTTCCTCCTCCTCGTATCTGACTTGCATTGGTAAGTTGCCACATCAGCTCTGACATGTCAGTAGCGGAGTGATACATCAGCATTGATTGTGATGACAATTGCAGTGTCAGGTCCACAGATGACATGTCAGCTATGAGTATCATGTCAGCGACAGTGCATGTCAGCTGTGACATGCAATGGTGTCATGTCGACAATGAGTTGTCAGCAATTCAGTGACACATCAGCAGTGCCATCTCAGCGTGGTGCTGGCTGCTCACAGTGCCGTGTTCCCGGACTTGCCACTCGGCGAGTTTGTAACTTGCATGCAAAGAGTGAGTAGCGGACGTGCTGGCTGAGCGGGAAAGGCAGCACAAGAAAGGCAGCGCAAGAAAGAAGAGTAGAGGCAACATCTGGTGGAAGAGGCAGCACCAGCATTGCAACGGCATAGTCCAGAAGCGCTTGGCTGAGCAACAGTGCATCGTCTCCGGGAAAGGTCATATATGTATGTATTCTGTAATCTACTAATCTGGCAAAATTAATTCAATTCTAAGACTAAATCGTCTGTAGACTCTGTTCACGTGATCCTATGGGCGCTTTTCCGTTTTCTTTTATTTACTTCGGCCTCTCACTCAACTCACTCACTCGAAGACTGTAAGGAGGCTAGGAAGAACTTGTTCACACAGGAACACTCCGTTGTCAACCATTTGAAGTCCTGGCCTTATGTACACCAGGACCTTATGTACACCAGGAGGGAGCATGTAATGAGCCCAACTCATGAGAACCCCACAATGTCAATCCATGTCATTTTCACACACACAAGTTGGGCTTGTGCTCCAAAGGGGAACTTCAGGGAAAGTCCCGAATTTATCTTAAGGAGCCTTCAAATACAGCAGGGCTTTACAGCCCATCTCTTTCGGCTCTATTTTGAAAATTGTGCTGCCGCCCTTCCGTTTTAACCGGATGTTGGTTCATTTATGTGAACAGCGGAGCAGCAGTCGGACATGCCCAAGCCCCGGGCCCATGTAAGTGTTTGATGATAGTGGCTGTATGTGTTGTACGTGGCACGCTGTCGTGGTGAACATGGCACGTTGCAAAGCCTGAGCCATTGCCTCGTACCACATCACTGTGGACCATTGCTGTGGTCCTTTCTCGACCATTGTGGCATAGCAGTGGGGCTCAGGGCGTTTTGCTGGGCACTATCCCTGCTGCACACATCTCCGGCGGGCGAGCATGCCTCCTCTGTGCTTGGAGGTAATCACACGTGGACTTGCTTCCTGCATCGACGGGGTCTGTGTGACCTCCTTGCGGCATTCTATCACGGATTTCCTCCCAGAAAATAGCCCAGTGGTAAGAGAGAACTGAACAGCTCCCCCCTGACTCCGAAGAATCTACGTCAGCATTGGGCCTTGCTGCACTATCGAAATGTGCAAAACGAGAGTGAATCTTCGTTAGAAACATGGCGAGATATGGCCGCATGATTTTTGTCTTTTGTCCATGTCGAGAGTAGTGCAGCGATGCCCGTTGTTTTAATCTGAGTGAGGACGCCGCCCGGGCGGGCCTGCCCTGCCGGGCTGGGCCCAGCCGGTTGGGTCCGGAGGGGGCCGCCCGGGTAAACCGGGCAGGACAAAAAAACGCCCAGAATTTTTTTTATTTTTTTTTTGAAACCGGGGTCATTCTGCGCATGGTGAGAGGACCCCGAATCTGCAATGAAATTCTGGTTTGGTGGGGGGATGGGGGGGTTGGTCTGGGTG